GTCCCAGGGCTTAGACCTCCTCTGCCGCCTGCCCAACCCACAGGTAAAGGCTGGATTGGAAGAGGAACAGCCAATGAGGTAGGCAGGTGCACAGGATAAAACTGATCGGGTTTGGGAGCTGGAAGACCACGCCTTCGCCATGCCCCTGTGTGACCTCCTGCCCTACCTGACCACACCTGGGTGCCCACCTGCCATCAGTAACCACTCCCCTTCAAAAATATATATAAAAGGCAAGGAGCGCCCCAAAAGCGCTCTCAGCCTGTTTTGTTGCCAGTGATAAGTGTGGACAGCTGCTCACAACGCTGCTGCACATGGTTTCTGACCTGCTTTCTGCTTGGGACGGACTCCAGCCTAACCTCCAGATTTTCCCTTCTCCTTAGATTAGACTAACACCCTCACTCTCCTATGCATCTTTCTCACCGAAGAAAAGTTTATAACGTATCATGCTGCCTTGCTCATTTATGACGGTATTCAGAATTCTTCTCTGAATATTCGGCAAGAACCCACACAGGCTTATTAGTATTGGGAATTTATCAATAAGCACACGGTGATATCATATGGCACCCCATATACCGATTTCACCAGGACACGAACCGGTGCCCATACGGGATGCCAGCGCTGCAGGTGGAGACAGCCTACTCTGCCCTGGTTAATGACATTTTATTTTATTTTTTTTTAAACTTTTATTTATTTTAAAGGTACTAGTATGATGCCTTTTGAATTTTCTGTTTTTTGTTTGTTCTTGAATCAATTTTGATAATTCATATCTTCTTTTTAAAAGTCATGTATGTGGCAGGCAGAATCATGCCCACTCCCTTAATTTTCCAAGCGTATTAATTTCACCTGCCATGGCAAGACAGACTCTGCAGGTGTTATTCAAGGTTACAGACCCTGAGACGGAGGGGATATCTTGGGTTATCACAAGAATCCTTATAGTAGCAGAAGGGGAGAAGTCACAGAGATGTGACTGGCTTGGTATTGCTGACCTTGAAAGTGGAGAGATGGTGACCGGAGCCAAGGAATAAGGCAGCCTGCAGCGCCTGGGAAGGGTCCTCAGCTGACGGCCAGCAGGGATCTGGGCCCCTTGGCCTCCGGTCACAAGGAACTGAATTGTGCCGGCGCTGAAATGAGAAGGGAACAGACCCTGCCCCGGAGTCTCTGACACCTACTCAAGTTTTAGTCTGATGAGACGTGTGCCAGACTTCTACCCTACAACCCTACAGAACTGCTACAAACTAAACTGGGGTTGTTCAACCATTATATTTGTGTGTGTGTGTTTTTTTTTTAAGCCAGCAGGAAGAAAACGTAGTCCAGATTTTCAACTTATAAAGTTATATCTAATAGTGCTTTTTTATTGTTTAAAATATATTGCACTAAGTTCCACATTTTTAAAGATTTATCTGAAAGGCAGAGGGGCCAGTGCTGTAGCATAGTGGGTAAAGTCACCGCCTGCAATGCCGGCATCCCATATGGGTGCCAGTTCAAGTCCCAGCTGCTCCACTTTTGATTCTGATCTCTGCTATGGCCCAAGTCCTTGGGAACCTGCACCCACGTGGGAGACTGGGAAGAAGCTCCTGGCTCTTGCCTTCGGATTGGCACAGCTCCGGCCACTGCGGCCAGTTGGGGAGTGAACCAGCGGATTGAAGATCTCTCTCTCTTTCTCTCTCTCTCTCTCTGCCTCTCCTTTCTCTGTGTAACTCTGACTTTCAAATAAATAAATCTTTAAAAAAAAAGAAGAAAAAGAAAAAAAAAAGAAAAAAAGAAAGGCAGAGTGACAGGGAGAGAGAGAGAGAGAAGATCTTCTACCTATTGGTTTTTTCCCCAAATTGCCACAGTGATTGGGTTTGGTCTAAAGCCAGGAGCCCAGAACTCTAACCAGGTCTCCCATGGGTTGGCATGGGGCCTTAGTGCTTGGGCCATCCTCCACTGCTTTCTCAGGTGCATTAGCAAGGAGCTGGACTGGAAGTGGAGCAGCTGGGACTGGAATCAGTGCTCTGATATGGGATGCTAGCGTCACAGGCAGCCACTCAAACCACTGTGCCACAACACCAGCCCCGAGTCTGTTATAATGAAAACCAAATCTCAACTTTTTTATCTCAGTTGTACCATGATTCTTTTTCTTTTATTTTCTTTCTTTTTTTTTTTTTTTTGACAGGCAGAGTGGACAGTGAGAGAGACAGAGAGAAAGGTCTTCCTTTGCCGTTGGTTCACCCTCCAAGGCGCGCTGTGGCCAGTGCGTCGCGCAGCTGGTTCACTCCCCTAGAAAGCTCCAACAGCCAAGGCTGGATCAGGCTGAAGCCAGGAGCTTCCTCCAGGTCTCCCACATGGGTGCAGGGCCCCAAGCACTTGGACAATCTTCCACTGCTCTCCCAGGCCATTAGCAGGGAGCTATATCAGATGTGGAACAGCCAGGACTCGAACTAGAGTCTATCTGGGATGCTGGCATCACAGGCAGCAGCTTTACCCACTATGCCACAAAGTCAGCCCCTTTTTTAGATCTATTTATTTATTTTTTAAATCAGAGTTAGAGAGAGAGAGAGAGAGAATCTTGCATCAGCTGGTTCACTCCCCAAATGGCTGCAAGCCAGGGCCAGGCTGAAGCCAGGAGTTCTTTTTGATCTCCCACATGGGTGTAGGGGCCTGAGTACTTGAACCATCCATCCTCGGCTGTTTTCCCAGGCCATTAGCTGGGATCTGACTCAGAAGCGCAGCAGCTCAAACCAGCACCCATATAGGATGCTGGCAGCACAAGTGGTGGCTTAACCCACTGAGCCACAGTGCTGGGCCCCCCTCACATTCATCCTTGATCAGACTCACTCAGTGTTGGACCACTTTGCTGTTTTTAAAGAACTAACCTTTTCAGTTTCACTTGATGTATCTGTTTTGTTATGTATTGTTAATCTCTTCTTGTATCATTATTCATCTTTTACTTTATTATTTTATTTTTATTTTATTTTTTGACAGGCAGAGTGGACAGTGAGAGAGAGAGAAAGATCTTCCTTTGCCGTTGGTTCACCCTCCAATGGCCGCCGTGGCCGGCGTACCACGCTGATCTGAAGGCAGGAGCCAGGTGCTTATCCTGGTCTCCCATGGGGTGCAGGGCCCAAGCACCTGGGCCATCCTCCACTGCATTCCCGGGCCATAGCAGAGAGCTGGCCTGGAAGAGGGGCAACCGGGACCGAATCTGGCGCCCCAACCGGGACTAGAACCCGGTGTGCCGGCGCTGCAAGGTGGAGGATTAGTCTAGTGAGCCACGGCGCCGGCCCTCATCTTTTACTTTCATTAGGTATATTTACATTCTTTTATAATCTTCTTGAATTTTATGTTTAAGCTAATTAATTTTCTAATCTTTACTATTTTCTAATTAATCTATTTCTTCTGAGTATCATTTTATTTCTCTCTCTCAAGGTTTTGATATGCTATCACTGACTTCTAAAACATCTGTAATTTTAAAAATTTCTGCATCAATTCAAGGGTTATTTAAAAGAGTGATTTTATAATTGCAAGTGGCAGGATATTTGTGTTTAAAAGAAATAAACGCTTGGGAGTGGGAGGGAAGCTAGCTTGTTGGCAGACTGGAATACTTACATGAACCAAATACCAGTGTGGCTGAGAGTAAGATTCTAGTTCAAAACAATTTTCCTTCAGAATGTTGAAAATGAACTCAAAGTCTGTCCGATTATTATCTAACAAACAAACTTCCTGTTTCTTGTTGTTGTTCTCTCTGGAAACGTGTAGAGTTTCCCCTGGAAGTTCTGTAAGTTTTCTGTGAGATTATGAGGGATGGGCCTTTTCCACTTCCATCTTGCTTGTTGGATATTTTCTCTGTCTCTGGGCCAATATCTTTCTTCAGCTCTGGGAAATTTTCTTTGTTATTCCTTGGATTATTATACTCTACTTATGATCTCTAGACTCTCAATATTCGACATTATAGTTCAAAATCTGAGTTAATCTAAAATTCCAGGGAGAATCATTTAAATTTTATTATACTCCTGGAAAAAGTAAGCATTTTGTGGACCATTACATTTTTAGTCCTTTTCTTCCAAAATGAAAAAAAATTATTGTGAGCAGTAATATCTACGAAATCTTTTTTTTAAAAAAAAACACTGTTGAAAAAACCCTGTTAAAATATTTATGTTTATCTTAAAACTTTACTTTTCATTTTACTTGAAAGGCAGAGAGAAGCAGACAGGTAAGACGGAGAAAGAGCTTCCATTTGGTGGTTTTCTCTCCGTATCTTCGCGACAGCCAGTGCTGGGCCAGGCTGAGCCCGGAGCCTGGAACTCAGTCCGGGTCTCCCATGTGTTAGCAGGCACCCAAGTACTCGAGGTGCTGCCTTCCAGGGTTCACGTGAGCGAGAAGCTGGACTGATCGAAAGTGGAGTAGCCTGGACTCCAGCCAGGCTTCCTGATATGTGATGCGGGGGTCCCGAGCAGCGACTCAGCTGCGCTCAACTTCTGCTCCTGTTTTTATTTATTTGAAAGGCAGAGAGACATAGAGACAGTGACAGAGACAGAGACAGAGATTCATTCCCCCAATGTGCACATCTCAGTTGGGCCAGGCTGAAGTGAGAGCTGGGAACTCACACTGTGTCTCCCACGTTGGTGCCAGGGACCCAGGTACTTGATGCTACGCCCCGGGTGTGCATTAGCAGGAAACTGGAATTGGAAGTGGAGCTATGCATGCCAGTGTGGGATGTGGGTGTCTTAACTGTTGTGCAAAACACCTACCTCTATCTACCACATCTCACAAAATTTTAGCTGCTGTGAATACCTTCTGAAATGGGTAGGAGGCACACATTCTATGTCTAATCTAGTTATAGGAAATGTATAAAATATAAGTAAAATTCCATCAAATCTGCTGGAAATAGACATTTTTTCATTTAATGAGTTACAGTATTATTACAGAAAAATATCTTACAAAGTTAACCCAGTTTGTACAAATCACCTGAGTCCATGTTGAGATTATTATACAACCAGGAACCTTTTCTTTGATTCTAGATTCTACATGAACTACGGCTGATCACTACTCATTTTTCCCCCCAATCTTCACTACATACATACTTCCCAACTCACAAAGAAGAAATCAGAAAATTAGAAATCTCTACAGCAGTGTGATATGTGCAACATGTTGAAACGTATTGCAAAGGCCATATTGTACCAAGTGCAGAGACTGCGGCCATTATCAGCTTCACCTGTTGGGAAAAAGGAGCACCATGGCTGTACGGGCCACCATCAAGGGTGCTTGTGTCCAGTGGCGACCAGTTAAGAGGGCGGTATACATCAGTGCTGTGAGCCACGGATAAAGTTGTTCATTTCTCGTATTCACATTTAAAAAGGAAGGTGGAATGCATTTTACTTACTCATTTAATCTATCTGAACTATTATCACTGTAATATGTAGTCACAATAAAAAATATTAATATAGTTTGCCTTCATTTTTCTTCAAAGTGCAGCTCATATTTTAACATCATAATATATTAATTTCAAGTGTTCCATGGTCCATGTGGCCAGGAATATTGAAAAATATATTGAACAGCACAGGTATAAATCAATGATCTGAATTTCCAAGTGCTTTCCACAGCACGAAGGTAATTATATTTTGTAACTAACATAAAAAAATAATGATGTGTCTGGGAGAAATCTTTAGAATACCTACCTTAATAAATTAGCTTTTTAATTATTTACTGTGTGAGAATAGGGACACAATCCAGGAAGAATTCGGAAGCCATTTGCTCCCTTCAGAGGCTGGTAACTCCCACAGGCTTCTGTCTTAGCTATTATTCCGCTTAACAAACTTCCTTTTAGTGATGCACTATGGGCAGCTCTTACCAGAACGTATTTCTGAATTATCAAGTTCCAAATCAGCAGTAGCATTAACAAGCAACTTGCCCTGTATCTCACATAAACACTCATTCAAGACGTGTCCTTCCTCAGTTACAGAAACCTGCTTACTAACAGTTCTCCGCCTTTTGGGAACACAAACATTTAGACCTTGAGAAAATGGCGTCTCCGGAATGTTCCCAAAGGGAATGCCGGAGAATTTCCTCTGGGGGTCCGGGCTCATCCCTGCTTTTCGCATGCTTAGATCTTGCTCACAGCTGCAAGGTGCCCTGGGCCTCACCAGGCCTCACTGGGACAGCTCCTGAGCCGAAGGGTCAGTCATCTCGACAAGCTTTTAGCCCAACTGCTGCTCAAGGGTCTTGATGCTCTTGTGGCTTTTTTTTTTTTTTTTAAAGATTTTATTTATTTATTTGACAGGCAGATTTACAGACAGTAAGAGAGAAAAAGACAGAGAGAAAGGTCTTCCCTCCGCAGGTTCACCCTCCAAGTGGCCGCAACGGTTGGAGCTGCACCGATCCGAAGCCAGGAGCCAGGTGTTTCCTCCTGGTCTCCCATGGGGTGCAGGGCCCAAGGACTTGGGCCATCCTCCACTGCCTTCCTGGGCCACAGCAGAGAGCTGGACTGGAAGAGGAGCAACCGGGACTAGAACTCGGTGCCCATATGGGATGCTGGTGCCGCAGGTGGAGGATTAACCTAGTGAGCCACGGCGCCGGCCCCAGCTCTTGTGGCTTTTAGAAGCAGTCAAAATACTTGGGGGCAAGAGGGTATTTACTGCAGTGGTGAAAAGCCACTTGGGATGCCTGCATCCTGTATCAGGGTGTCTGGGTTTGAGTCCTGGCTCTGCTCCTTATTCCACCTTCCTGCTGCGGCCCACCCCAGGGGGCAACAGGCTCAAGAACTTGGGTCCCTATTACCCACATAGGAGACCTATATTGTTCCTGGCTCCTGGGTATTTGGGGGTAAAGCTGGCGAAGAGGAGGTCTCTTCCTCTCTCCCCCTTCCTGCCTCTTACATTAAATAATTCATTTAAAAAACACACATTTATTTGATTGTACTAACGTTTGAAGCACATTCTTAAATGTGCCACTGCCCCTTTGGAACCAAGGCCCTTACTCCTCTAGCTGCTGGGGGTGCTGGCAGCCGACGGCGTTCAAGAGCTCCTGTCTGGAAATGGTCTGCTGCCCTGGCCACATAGGGTCATGCCCCTTCCCTGGGATTAGCAGTCCCACACCAAGCGGCTGATCCGGGTCTGTAAGGAAAAATGCCGGCCCCCTCAGCTCAAGGTGGACAACTCAGAAGTGCAGCCCAGCCCCGGGGCTGCCAGCAGCACCCACTCTGCTCTGCCCAGTGGGATTCTTTCGTTCCCGGTGCTGCTCTGAGGACTCCCGACTAAACTTCCTGCGTTCACATCTCTGGCCCAGTTTGGTCCTCGGGATTTCTAACCCATGACAGTTATTACCATTAGTTTATATTGTAAGTGTTCTTAAGACACTGAATATAGGCCCACTCGCTTTTTTCTTTTTTTTTCAGATCCATCCATTTATTTGAAAGGGGGAGAGAGAGAGAGAGAGAAAGAAAGAGAGAGAGAGAGAGAGGCTTCCATCTGTGAGTACAGGCAAGCCACTTCAGACTTCAGGAGGGCAAATCAAGGTAAGTGTTGTCTTATCATTTTAGCATCATCACAGACTGAAAGCTGTTTACTTGGGATTCACATCTCAAAGTAGCTGGAATCACCTCTATCAGATGATGGGATCTGGAGGCAGAAGGGAATTTGAACAAGGTATCCAGAGAAAGAGCCACTTCCTGTTTGTGCAGGCTTGATTGGGTCATCAAAAGCAAAAATAATGCCCAAGCAACCCCTCAGTGAGATGATTTTACTGATCTAACACAAGTTGTTTGAACGATATGATATAATCTCCCACTTCAAAGTTCTAGTAACCACGGAACACTGTTCATGCGGCTCTGGTCTACAGGAAAAAATGCATCGGAGTAAGCAAGGTGACCCTCAGCTTTCTCTTTTCTGCTGGCATACATTGGGCTCTGTAGCGCACGCCTTGCTGAAAGGCCAAAGATCTACACTGCAATCGTTCACTGTGGGATAACAGAATACTTGTGCAAAAGCTGCCTGTGAGGCCAGAATTTAACCTTAGGGAACCAAAATCTAAACCTTGTGAATTCTCACTGCATCAGACCATCACATTAACGTGCATCTAGGGAAATCCTGGGGAGGCTGTCTGCCTTCTCTCCCTTCTCCCAGCTTCTCCACTCCCTTTATTTTTTAAAATGCAGATCACTTAAGAGAGAAGAAGAATCAGCAGCTCTTCCTGGAATGTCCAAGCCCTTAAGGGTCAGCTGGCTTAATCACCAGAAGGAGGCCAGAAAGGGGCCTGTGAAACACAGAACCCAGCGCAGGCGCAGGCGGGTGCAGCTGGCAGAGCCCATTCTGTCACTGCCACAGCGTGGTGTATTTTTTTTTTTTACATTAAGCCAATTTATCATTTATCTCTTAGTTATAATCCATTTTTTTCTGTTAAATTTGTAAAAACCTGCAAGTATGGCAAAATATTAAAACTGTTAGCATTTTAACACTACTGTCTGACTATATTACGTGGGTATTTTGGTCTCCTGAATTAAAGATTCTAAAAGTTTGTCTAGGCTTCCATTTGACACAGAAATCCTCTCTACGGCATATTTCATTGAAAAGACTGCATCATAAAAGATTAATGCAACAACCTAAAATATTTATATTTTAAAATTCCACAGGAGGTACTGAATATGGGTTGCCATTTTTTGTATTTCTTATGCAAACAAAATGTTCTCTTTTTATCTTAAACTAGTTACCATATATGGAGATTTGCTACACTGTACTTTGTGTTAATTTAATTCATAGCTTAAAGGATGTACTTCAAAACATTTCAAAATCAGGTTGCAATCCTTTGAGGCAAAATCTTAATGCCTCTAGCCAATCACGGCATATAAACTGGACATTCATGGCATACGTGTGCAATGAAAAGAACATCTCCAGTGTGAGCTGCCATATGAAGTGCAGCATTCACACCACCACAAAATAGAGAGGGAATCCTGTTTCACAAGGATACCGTAGGCTTGCACACATTTGACAGAAAACCCACATCACAGCCAGATTCAGCATCACCAAGGTAGGACAAGAGAGGGGACTTTTGTTCTACACAACAGCGCCACTCAGTGGCTGAACAATGATAGTGAACTGATAAACAGCATGAATGGGGGGGGCAGGAAAAATGGAGTTTTTGAGGAGGCAATGATGATGCTGCAGGCAGAGTGATGCACACTACATCGCTATGGAAACTGTACCTTGGAGGTCAGTTAGATTCTGGACAGGAACAGAAACCTGAGCATCGCTTCCTGTTACTACATCGCCTGGATTTCATAAGAAAGAATAATTAGATTTCATACAAAGGAAATAATCAACTTTTCTTTCATATCCAATGTTGTTAATATTTTATCAAATTGCTAAAATACAGTATAACATGAAATACAGCACAAACAAAACAGAAAAATTAATGCAAAATATTTTTAAAGAAAATAATTTTTAAAAAGAATGTTTCTTAAGAAGCTTCTGATTTTTTTAAAGAAAAAACAAACAAGTTTCTACTAGTCTGGAGTACAAAAAACTTAAGCAATTGAAAGATTCCTCTGATTAGATTTCATTATGCTACAAATATTAGTGCAATTTTATATTTTCTTCTTGAAAAACCTTTGTATCCAAAAGTAAGTTATATGTTTTTTACTAAGAAATAAGCATTATTGCAAAACAGATTTCCTCCTTTATCAGAAAAAAAATTTACTTATAACTAAACTTGAAGCCAACTTCCTCAGTGAAATGACTTAAATAAATTCAATTTGCATATTAAGAAATAAAAAATTTCATGTTACCACATGTACTTCTAAGCATCAACATGTAAAAATAAATCTGGGAACTGCATACCCTTGACTTGAAACACGTGGTATAGGCAAAATTTCATTTACAAACTGGATCTGGGGCAAATGCTTAAAATAGAGAAGAGTTCAAATTCAAAAAGCAATTAAAAATATAGACAAAGAAAACAGGAAGGGGGAAATAAAGAGTGCATTTTAAGAACACAGGAAAGGCAGGAAAAGGAGCCCAGGAGGAAATCCTAAGAGCCTGAGGTACGCTAACATTTAGAGGGAAGACTCTAGACATACTTAAACATGTTTCAAAGTCAGGTATCAATCCTGCATGACCAAGTCCAGCGCTGAGCACAGCCCTGTCAACAGACTTGTTCTTGGGTACATCACCATCTGAAGGCTGATGCTATTTTGAGACTAACATGCTAAAGAAAACATGCGTTTTTAAAAGGCATCACATGCTAATTTCGGATTAATAGGCTTGTTTCCCCTTAGCTCTTATATAATAAATACAGTAGTAAGAAAGAATCATTTTCTGGATTAAATATCAGACCCTCAGTGTCCTGACCGTGTGCTACAATTATGATTCACCGCGTGGCCAGCTCATCTGGAAATTGTTGGGCTGTAATTAAGTCATCCCCATCAATTAACAGCACACACATTACATTCTCTGATAACAGAAATAAAATCTATAAATAGGAGCGCAACCGAAAGAAGTGATGAACAGCTTTTAGCAGAAACAGGCCGTGCAGTTTCATACGGTAGTCAACTCTAGATTCACGGATGGATGGTGCCTACTTTCTGTATAGTTGAAGGTCATTTTCAGTGTTATGCCTGTGACACATTTTACTCTGCTGTTTCTGGATCACCTGTTAATGTAGAGACTGAACCCTCATTTTAATATTGAGGATCCCCAAGATCATTACAGGGGATGGCTGAGCTGTCTCTTCTTTCTCATCCCACCCCCAGCACATACACAAACTACAGAATGCATTTCAAGCATTTACAAATTTGGATTACAAATATAACTGTCTCTTATAAATAAAAATAACTGAGTGCTAACTAACCTATGAAAACCATAGGCATTTTCTTCTTCATAAACAATCATTTTGCAAAACTACTTTTGAATTTCCCAGCAGAGTATATTCAAAAGGCGATAACAATGTCTTTCCTCGAAGGCACTAAGTAGAGGGCTCTGTTCTGAGACACCTGGAAAGCAGAAACCAACACAAGCCCCCGATGGGCCACATGTTGCACTCCCTCATCTCTGGGAGCAGGTGACACGCCTGTCAGTGGCACAGCCCAGCAGGATGCTAGCGGAAAACACCCGCAGAAAGACCCAGTTTTGGAGAAGGCTTTGTCACCAAAAGAAGCCCAGAGTTTGGGGCTTGGGTGCAAGCCTCCTTTCAGGGAGATAAAGAGGGCTGCAGAGCCTCAGGGTATCCCTGGGGTTTATCTGTGCGTGCATGAGGGACAAAGAGCATCAGACAGCGCTGCCTTCTACTTCTAGTCACTGTTCTCTTTGCCCTCAGTTTTATTCCAGCTTCCACGCTGGGAGGGGCAGCAGCAGGACTATTTACCTTTGGCATGAAGGTAGACAAGCTTCTATGGTAGACTGACAGGAGAAGAACAAATCAGAGAGAGAAGTAGTGAGGAGGAGCTGCCAAACAAGGCCAGCTTCGAGGACGGGGATCAGTGACTGAACGCCCTCGCGAGACTTCCGTTCCAAACGCTTTGCTTGCGTGCTCTGTCGTCTCCTTATAGCTAGGGACTTGGTTGTCAGCGACTGTTCCATCTCCAGGCACTTCCCTTCTCACGTACTGTGATATTAATACTTGACATTTCCTTAGAGACACAACTTTATATTTCTACAGTCATTTGGCTTGGTTCCTCAGAAAATTTAAGCTACGGCGTTAAGAGATTCTCTGACTCATTTGCCTGCCATAAGTTAGAATTACAACTGACTAAAGCTTGTTATCAAAGCAATATTGAAATCATATTTGTTTAGAACAATAAAACAGTACAATTAAGAAATATGTAAAATAACATTCATTTCCATTCTGGAAGTGGGCATGTCTCCTGGCATTAAAATACATTTACAACATGTTAATGATTTGAAATCTCCTGTTCTTTAAATCATGTGTGACAGCTCTACATGGAAAAGGAAAGAATGCATTTGAAACAAGATATTCTCACGTATGGCTAACTGAGTATTCTAACAAAAAATTACATACTAGTTATATATGGTGTAATGTTGCACACAGGCAAAGAAATACAGAAGAGACGGGTAAGGATGCCATCCATGTAGGAAGACAAGCACGCACACTGCACACCTGCACGTGCCCGTGCACTCACTGACTAGTATTTATTACGCATCTTTGGGGAACAAAGTCCATTTAACGTAAGTTTATAATTAAATGCCAATATGTAAAGTCTTTAATAATTTCGGGTGCAATCTTCTTAGGCGGAGTATTTGGAACACAGTTCAAGGTTTTCTTACAATACCAAGGCTTTGAAAAATTCATGGAAAAGATGCATTATGAATAACTGCATGGGTTTCAAAATTTTTTTGCATAAAGATGAACTTATCCTGCAATTTTTCAGGTGGACTTTTGGAAGTGGCCCTGTATTACTACTGTTACTGCCCACATGAGTCACTAAACATTGCTATAGCACAGGGATCCCTTTAAGACACAAGTGAGGCCTGGGTCTGGATGTCTGCTGTGACACTGCGAGGCCCCAGAGGGCTGTGTGGTGAGGTCCAGGACTGACTGCTGTAGATTTTACTAATTCTTGCTTTCATAGCATCGCTGGCAGAATTCCACCACGAAAACTAAATGTAGCTGGCTTCTGACATGCTCTGAGTAGAGGGACCTAACACATTAGGTCTCTTTGAAAGCAGGTGGGAAATCAGAGAGTGAGGGTGCGGAGTAAGAACCGAAGGGCTCTCTTCTGAGTAAAGGGCTCGCTTGAGTGGGAAGGCCTGAGACAGAACAGAGCGCGCTGAGTCCGGGCACGGGCGTGCTGCCAGCAACAGTCCCTCGGCAGAGGACAGGTGTGCACGGGATGATCTCCCAACTGCCCTTCGGGCTAACAGTGCAGACACAGGTCTTCGAGAGCATGGACTCAACGCTTATTTCGTCTGCTTAATATTTTATTCAGCTTCCCCACCTCTCCCTTAATCTCCTCTTTCCCATTTCTTGGGGGTGCAGCAGCTGGATGAGAGAATGCAGGCCCAGGGGCATGCCTCCTCCAAACCTGAGCGACGCACTGACGGACGCGGTGAGCAGCAACGGCCACAGGACTGCACGTTCCCATTCCAGCGCGTCCTCTGAAAGACAGCGCCCCTCTCGGAGCACTACTGTACGGAGCTGGCAGAGGGCACACCAGCTGATCTCAAGGCCGTGATGTGTGAGCTCACACCCTCCTGTGCTATGGGCAGCCACAGGACGAAAAATCAAGAATACGAGGATATCAATGTGAAAATAAACCTTAACGAATTACCTCATAAGGTGTTCTCACTTAAGAAGACAGATTATGATAGTCCAACTTAAAAATGATCAACTCTGAGATTTACAAAAGCCTGATTTTGCACGAATTTCTATTTCGGGGAGGTTGGCTCTGCCGAGGCAGGCGAGGCACTCCCAGGCCACAGGGTGGGTGTCTCCTCCGCGTTCACGTGCACTTTGCTCCTACCTTTGTTCAGTTGCACCGGCATGCTCTCCGACTTCAGCAGTCGCTGCTGCTGCTGCTGCTGCTGCTGCTGCTGCTGCTGCTGCTGCTGCAAGTGATGCTTCGGGGCTTCCACTGAGGTTCTCGCGGGCAGGACCGAAGAGGAACTGCCGCTGCCGCCCCCAGTTACAGGGCCACCCACGCTGCCTGGGGCCATTGCTGGGGAAATCAGCTTTCTTCCGAAATTAATCAGGCTATTAGAGACCTTGTTTATATTCAGGGGTGCACCTTTGGCATTGGTCCTGTAAAACAAACAAGCAAACAAAATAATAAGCAGAGAGATTACTTAAGTTGGAAGAAGACTCTACTTCCTATACCCCATTGGTCTAAAACCACGGTCAGCTTTGAAAAAGGCCATTTACTGCGTCAGCCATGTATGGTGAGCAGTGCAAGCTCAGTGATCATGGAGTAACGAAACAAAATTCTTAAAAAAGTGGCTCATGGAAAACAGTTGCATTACTTCCCACTCATTCATTCTACAAACAGGTCCTATCACTTGCCAATAATGTGGTTCTGGAGGAACACCTGCCCCAAGCAGACCCTTTTCTCCTGGCTTCCCTAGTTTGCCAGACTTGCCTCGTACAGGGCACCAAGCAAACATCTGTTAGGTGAGCAGTCACTTCCCACATGACTTGGACTCTTCCAGCATTTAGGGCTATTATCTTTAAGAATAGTTATGATTATAAATTCTTTTAGTTGTAGGAATGGGCCATCCCACACCCCGACAATACTGAGGTTTGTATTTTTATTGGCAAAATCATTAATAGAAACTTGTTTTTTCATTTTGCTGCTTATTCATACAGTAGGAAACTGATAATCAAGTTTGAGAGATCCACTAATGGGATTTTAGTTAACCCAAATTCCCTGTCACTGCCTGGCCCCAGCTCCACCTGGCAGCACTGACACAGTAATTCTACTTTTCACAGAACAGCTACATCCCTGCTGTCACCAAACCGTGCTCTAAAGCAGAACCGTCCCATGGTTCTACAGCGAAAAGGAACCTGCACCATGCTTCTTCCTTCAACCCCGCTTCCTCTAACGACGGGAGCCAGCGGAACGTCCCGGGCGAGGCACTGGGGCTTCACTGCTTTGGCGATAGGACAAGTCCAATCCACAACCCGGAGCTCGGCCTTGGAAAGAGCGATCTACTCATTCGTCACTCAACAAAGCGTGGACAGGTTCAAACGGCTCCTTTGGTATCGAGTTTCATCTTGAATGGACAGAACTATTTAATGTCCTTCCCAAAATGATTAAAAATAATGCTTCCTAGAGGAGCTCGGGCCCTGTGGTGATCACACACCACTTGTGGGTTTTAGCTGTCGCCTAATGAAGCAGAGTGTTTTCAATTTACAGAGAATATGGGTTAGCAACAGAGAAGGCACTCAGAACATTTTTATTGAGAAGAAAGAAGGAATGAAAAGAACTCATAAATTTTACATTAACGAGGCGTTCACCTCTGGCACTATATTCCACTCAGCAGCCTGCGTGCACCCCGTTTCTCGTGAGTCGTGGCAGAAAGGAGAGCTATCTTGATTCTGAAGTTCTGCTGCATTTCGTTTTGCTTGTTTGCCAGTCAACATTCATAATTCACAGATATGAAGAAGTTATAATATTGTTACCCTTTTTTATAAACAAAAATGTACTACTGAAATTCCCATACTGCCAGTTGTAAAATTTATATGTTGATAGAAGTACTAGGAAACTGCTAGAGCATTATCAAGAGACTATGGTTAATGCATCTTCATTACTACTAATAACCATGAAAAACATATAGATCAAGCTCATGCCGAACAATTTTTCATCGCAATAGCTCTTAAAAGCAGATGAGCACTGCTTTCCTTTCCTGAATGTTTTTGTTTTCAACCACTTTTCCCTTCATCCACTACCCACAGCTTCCAAGGTGCATATTTTCTTTCCAAAACAACTACTGAAGGTGACTATTTGTACTTTTAGGCTACAAATCCTGTACCTGGAGAGAAAGCAAGCTGTACACAGGGGGCGTTTGCTTTTCTTGGGTATGACAACCTTTATGCTAAAGTTACCTAATTTAGATGTGGAACAACAGCATCCTTCAGATGAAATATTAAATGATTTTCAACAATTTTTAATGGTTGTAGCCTGTTTTATTAACCTCTGTGTGCTAAATTAGTGAAAAGCAACGCAGCTGTCAGAGATCTGATGGACAGTGGGAATTAGATTGGATTAAAGATGGAGTACAAGGAGTAAAAAGTGTTAACTAGTAACAGGAACTTGGAGTTAACACGTCACTGAATCGCCAATCTAATGAGTAAGCAATTCTGTGTAATCAAAGTCCTTCATTACTGTTGTCTACTTAGTGTTATTAAAAATAGTCCCATCACAAAATTTTGAATGTTTTTACTTTAGAAAAAATTTTAAAAATGCATGCCATAATAAAAAACAACAACAGTAGCATCTGTGAGAATGTTTTGAACTGTGCTAAGAACTTCTTTTTGGTACAACCTTATTCAGCAGGTTACAAAGTAGCAACAGGAGCACTTTCAGAAAATCCAAGAAACTCTTCACCTGTACACCTGTATGAGAACCCAGTTCTGACCTGACTTGATTGCTGGGTTCTGTCATTTGAGTTTCTAAAACTCTGAAAACGGGTAACTCTAGCTATCTCTTCCTACCCACTTGATCTTTTGCCGCCTGGCTTTCTGATCTATATACTTTACTGAAAGAAGTTAGGGTCTCTAATGCTTCTTTTTAAAAAAAATTATTTATTTATTTGAGAGGTGGGGAGCAGGGGGAGAGGGAGAAAGAAAAGAGATAGAGAAAAAAAGAGAGAGATATCTCTTCCATCCGTTGATTTATTCCCAAATGCCTACAAAGCCAGCCCTGAGTTGAGGCTGGGAGCAGGAACTCAGCTGGGGTCTCCCGGGTTGGCAGCAGGAACCTGACTACTGGAGCCATCACTGCTACTTCCAGTGCTGCGTTAGCAGGAAGCTGACGTCAGGAACCAGAACCTGGTACACATGCAGGCACTCTGTTATGGGGCAGAGGCATTTTACCTAGGCTAAATGCCTGCCCCTCTGGTGCCTTCTTTTCTTTTCTCTCTCTCCTTTTTTTGTGACAGGCAGAGTTAGACAGTGAGAAAGAGAGAAAGCTCTTCCTTCTGTTGGTTCACCCCCCAAATGGCTGCTACGGCTGGTGTGCTGCGCGGATCCGATGGCAGGAGGCAGGTGCTTCTCCTGGTCTCCCATGGGGTGCAGGGCCCAAGCACTTGGGCCATCTTCCACTGCACTCCCGGGCCACAGCAGAGAGCTGGACTGGAAGAGGAGCAACCGGGACAGAATCCGGCGCCCTGACCGGGGCTAGAACCCGGGGTACCAGCGCCGCAGGTGGAGGATTAGCCTAGTGAGCTGCGGCGCCGGCCTGGTGCCTTCTTAATCATCAGAGTCAAGGCATTTAGAAGTCATTCAACTTAATAGTCGTTCTGAAGCCTTTAAAAAACTATCACTGTATTAACACCTTTGAAAAGTTCTCCAAAACTTTTCTTTTTTTGATATCCAAGTGTTCAGATTATCCTGATAAATCTTTTCTACCTAGAGATTTGTTTTCCAGATCTGATATTAAATATCTAATACTTATTTCACTTTCTGCAAAATAATTTTGTTGGATGCTTGGCTATATTTTTGTCAAAGAATCAGTTTTCAACTTATTTTTGGTAGCTTTGGGATCCGCATGGAAGGAAGGCCTGTACTTCCGGGAATGGAGAGCCCCGACCTGTACTGCTTAGACGACTTAGTCTAGAGCCGTGAGGAATACTGCCAAACCCTATCTCCTGCTTAAGGGTCTACACATTTGCCCTGACTCCTTATTTCCACTCTTGATTTCTATTCTCTTCCTTCTGCCTCTCCTTCCTCCTTTGTTAATCTTTTTAAAGATCTCTTTTCTCCTTTTTCTCCCCTTTCTTCACACCATAGACTCCTTCTATATTATTTCCTCATGGCATTCCACCTATATATATTTTCCTACCATAAAAACATTAATTTTCTCTCATAAAAACATTTAACTTATTTTCTTAAGTATAAAGAATACAGTACATATATGTTTTTCTTTGCTTTGGTGAAAGACACAATTTTCTCTGTCTTTCTGTATATTACTGGTCTGTCACTGACCTACATGAATAGGTTGGGTTATGGTTCATATGTGTTTTTTCACTGCTTACGGATCTCAACCTTCTTGTGAATTTAAACAGTTTGCTTGCCAGGGTTACAATCTCATACTTTTCAACGTGATTCTAATATCTAAGCAAGTATTCAAGATGTACTTCTTAAACATTCTGTTAGCTGATAGCTTTGAATTCTATCAAATGAACTGGATTCTCACCTTCTTAGTTCTGAAACTTTGAAGTTGAGTGTACCAAATTTACTTCAATGAAGATATCTGTATCTAATTCTAATTCTAATTTGCTTGCCAAATTGTGAGGTTTGTTATCTTAGAAATGAACTCATTCCACATCTCAAGGAACTCTAAGATTTGTAGGTCTTTAGTAAAATTACATGATAAAAGCTTGCTATTACTCCTTAGGAGTTTGAATTTTAAGGGGAATGTTTCATTTCAGTTATAAACTGTAATTCTTTTACAAGACATATCCATCTCAATAAATACTGAGGTTTCCATTTCTAGAGTGGAAGTTTTCAATCTTTAATTTCTTTTCTGGCCAATGTACCTGAGGGATCCACAAGGAACCAAGGTTTACCCTAGCAGCTCCTCAGAGGGCCAGGGGATCTCTGCTGAGGGGACATATCAGAAAGGAAAATTAAGAGTTCCGAGATGCCCCACAGCTGGGGAAGTTTTGGCCTCTTTACCTCTCTTTTCCCATTCTGAGGATCACACATATCTTCACGTTTAAAAACAGCTGCAGTTATACATATATCAAGAATTATGTGTTGGCCGGCACCGCAGCTCAATAGGCTAATCCTCCACCTGCGGCGCCGGCACACCGGGTTCTAGTCCCGGTCGGGGCGCTGGATTCTGTCCCAGTTGCCCCTCTTCCAGTCTAGCTCTCCACTGTTGCCAGGGAGTGCAGTGGAGGATGGCCCAAGTGCTTGGGCCCTGCACCCGCATGGGAGACCAGGAGAAGCACCTGGCTCCTGGCTATGGATCAGCGCGGTGCGCTGGCCGCAGCGGCCATCGGGGGGTAAACCAACGGAAAAGGAAGACCTTGCTCTCTGTCTCTCTCTCTCACTGTCCACTCTGCCTGTCAAAAAATTAA